GATAATTATATTGTAGATCTAATCCCGTTTGTAATTTATGAAACTAATGTGTTGTAAAATGGGATTATCGAAAATCAATTTTTGAAAATCATAATTTAAGGCACCACCCATTCGACAAAGTTTGCCAAGCAACTCTACTTAATTTAGAAAATTAATAAAGAAAAAATATATATAAAATAAGCTTTTGTTAATTAACAGATTAAAGATAATGTTCTTAAGTTTAAAGAATTAATTCTCTTTGGTTCCTATCGAATTTTAAATATTTGTTCGTGTTTAATATGCAAACATCGAGATAATTTTCTAGACTAGGTTAAGTTGCCTTTTACGAGTCAACTGCTATGTTGATCATTTGAGACGTTTTATTTACAGGATTTTCCAAGAGACACGCATAAGAATCTATAAAATTGCCAAGCTTTACACGTGTAAAATATATTTAATGTACTATTCGACTAAAGATAAGAAGAGAGACAAGCGAATTTTATTACAAACAGTAGTTTTGATAAAAGCCGAACGCATTTGTATGCCAAAGACAAAGAAGGACACTCCTTTATGGATACGATTTCGAACATTTCTTTTTATTTTCTTCTTATTTATGCCCGTATTTTATATTATCCTAACTAAACACGAATGATTCTTCCGTTTCATAGGATAATCAATCATATTATCTTCATCCTCGCTACATATAGTAGTAAACAAGATGCTGTAAGTCAACAGAAAGATCTTCATTTGTTATCCGCATATAATTTATCGCCAAATTAATGTTTCTATTCTATTTTCGTCAGAGATAAAAACGTTAGTGAAAAAATGCTTACAACGTATTCACTTTGGCGTGGTAAACTGAAAGATGTAATTCATCTTTTATATCTAGACTATCAACGAAGAAACATGAGAATTGGCTATTGGAAATTGTTGGCTGTCTCATTGTTTCGAGCACGCTCCGAGTAATTTGATTCCAGATGAAAGTAACATTGATTGAAGGTGTGTTACGTTTCTCTGATTGTTTCTCGGGATGAATAGTTCAGAGGACACGCTTTCTTCCCCGTAAGATTTACTGATTTGAAAATTGTTCACAGACGAAGATTTAATTCGGTTTGCTCAATGAGATCTATTCGTTTTATCTATCGAATTATCTATAAAAGAGTAAATAACTTTGTTTATAAAATATTCTATCAAAGTCCAAAGAGAAAAGAAATAAATGGATAATACTACGGAACCGAAAGTGCCATTCTAGCGTAACTATTGAATTGTAATTGCTTTATATGAAAAGAGAGCATTTCGATGCTTTTAACATGGTTGCGCTAGTTGCTCTACTGGAGCTTAACTCTATTCTTTATTAAAGCTCCAATAGACGCTTTACTAAAGCCAAATTCGCTCTGCAACATTTACTTTAGATGGTCTAATAGGTGAAGGCCCCCGAAACCTCTATAACAAGTCGTATTAGTTTTTCTCTTGAAATAGCACTAGAACTCTTCTAAAATAATGTCACTGCTTCACGACATCTCCATTGAATGTTCTAGTAATATAAATACACTAATTGTTAATTCGAAAGTTTGGAGATTCCTAGAATTGTCTTAGACATTCATTCTCTTAGACACCTAAAAAGTCTATGTATATACTACAGTAAACTTTGAAAGAGAAAAGACTGTATATATACAGTTACATCCCAGTCTACGCTAATATATCTACCTATCTATCGAATATTTCGTAAAAATAGAATGCATTGAAGGAGAATATTTTCATATTTTATACTTGTTATATTTAAATTTAGATTAAATACTCGTTCAAAATGGATTTTAAATGCATAATTTCATCTATATGAAATGTTTTATTTCAAATTCACAGACTTTTATGCTAAAATTGCATTAAATATGCAAGTGGATTTTCTGTTTGAAACGCATTATATTGATGCTCGACTGGAACTGATGTATAGATGTTTTATCGAGCCTTATTGAATGCTTTACCGGAGTAATACTAGATGCTCTACTAGAATTCTACTAGATTCTCAATTGGAGTTCCACTAGAACTTCTACTAGGTTGAATAGATTTTCTATTATAAGTTACTAGATGCTAGAGCTGCACTCGATACGGAGATACCGAGATGATTGTTGCTCTGTACGAAAAGAAAAATGATCTCAATGTTAATCTCCAAAATATTTTTTAAAATTTATGTTTTAACAAATTTTAATTCATATAATTTTATTTCAACAGTTAATATTCATCAGATGATTAAATGTTAAAGGTTGGAGTCATTTGTTGCCTCTTTAACTCATTTTATTAATGGATTGTGTCCATTCTTGTTTTAAATCCTATTATCTTTTATTTGGTTACCGAAATACATTAATGTTGAAATTCATTTTCATGTAATTGTTGTTCTTTCATATAAAAATAAATAACTCTTCTTAATTAGATGCAGTCGAAGAAGTTTTTCTTTGTTAAATCAATTTATTAATGTAGAAGTTTTTTGAAGTTTTTTTTATATCGTTTCCTTCTTCTTTTTTCTTTTAACTTCCCTCAGGAAGAAAATGTATATATTTATATACATAAGTAATCTTTTTATTTCTTGATCCTAAATCTTATTCTTCTATACAGCAGCAGATATTTCTTTTACTCCTTTATGTTCGTCATGTTTTTATATCTATGTCCTTTCATATTTATTATGGTATAGCTACTTTAGCATTCTTTTCTTAAATCGATCTCAAAATGATTTCCCTTCTCTTCTTTTCTTCTTTTCATGAAGACTTTTACTCTTCATTTCTTTGCTTTTCTATTTCAATGGTTCTATTTTCCTCAAGAATTGGTTTTATTTCTTCAGTATTTCCATAAATATCTATAAGCAATAGTACACATTTTCTTCTTAATGCATTCTTCACTGTTTATACAGTACTAGATTATTTTCCTCTCATCTTATTGTTTTCTTAATTGAAAAAAATGCTTATTTCTATGCTGTTTTTCATACTCACTTGTTAACTTTACTGCTCTTTTCATAAGCTTGCTTATTTTGATGTTTAAGATTTAATTATTTATCTCAATATTCTTACTTATTTTTACAATTTTCTTTTGAAATAATATCTTTTTTATCAATGTTCATTTCAACATTCAATTCTATTTAAATTTGTTTATTTTCAAATCTGCTTCTGATCTTTTCCATTTAATATTTATACTGTTAGCCAGGAAAAAATCTATGTATTTTAATATTTATCTTATTTATTATTATTATTATTATTCTGGTTTGGTTTTGATAACATTTTTTAAAAGAAATACAATAAAATTTAAATTCATAGATATAGTTGCGAAGCGGAGATGATAGAATATTTAAATATTTTCCTTATTTACAACGGAAGCATTTCTAAAAAAACATTCAGAGAAATCGAGAACTTAACTAGAAATCCTTATTTCTTCGAATGCTTCGTGTANAAAATGAAAAATTTTACTGCAATCTTTTCTACATTGTCTGAATTCAAAAATATAAATATATAATATACATATTTTTTTGAAACTCGGAGTTATCCATAATGTCTTTTCTTTTTTTTTTTAAAGATTTTCTTCTACAGTAAATAAATGCTTCTTTTATTAAAATGAATTATATCTCTTGGTCATTTTCTGCAGTCAGAATAAAAATAGGCTGTCTGAAAGATTCAAAACTAAAACTATTGTATATCCTCATAACATTCGCAGCAAGATGTAGATATACATTATGCTGTAATAAATCATTAAAGTGCAATGGAAATCAGGTTTTCTTCTTAGCTGTCGCTAAATGACTAGGTTGAGGGTTGATGATTAATATTTTCCCCCTTTTTTTTATCCTCTGGAATTGACAAATGATTAATGGCTGTTTTTAAAGTCAAAGCGTTTGTCCCACTCAATTATATTATTTCAACTCTTGTTCTTGTTAATTCGCAATTCTTTCATAAGGAACATATTTACGCCTAAAAACTAAATCGAATGCAAGCTTATTGTCATTGTGTAACAAGTTCTTTTCGTTATCGTAGACAATAACCTAACCAATGCGAGGAGTGGGAACTGGTTCTGCACTGGGATACGCTATGCTAAATGTTAAAAGCCTGAGTCGAGCTTTACACAAAGTAGTAAATACGTAAGAAGGATTCGCTTAAAATAGAAATATGAATTTTTTTTTACTGGATACGGCCTAAGATTATATTCTTTTATTGAAATTCGAATTATGAAGAGATTTATTGATAGGGATGTAAGAAAAATATTTCTTAATGAAGGTGAGTCAATGAAACAGTTTCTCGTTAAATAGAGGATTTATTGCTAGAATATGGTCCATGAATAATGTTTCTTGCTGGAAATAGATCTAATGCAGACAAAGTATCTTTAGGTTTATGAAGGGTATTTATACTGATAGTGGTGGGATATATGATAAAAGTTCCTTGATGAGTAGCCTATAGGATTAATCGAATTTGTTACATGAAGGAGTTTATGTTGAGTTAATGAAAGGATTTTAAAACTTAAGATATATTCAATATATATATATATTTATGGATAAGGAATAAGTCTAGAAATAAATTTTCTATTGAAAATTAGGTTAATGAAAGGATTTTTGTTAATATACTTTATGAAACTTTTCTAGTAATATTATTTTTCTGGAATTGGATCCATAAAAATATTTTTATGATAATGGAGGTTTTCACATAAAAAATCTCGTTGGATAAAAATAGAGTCTACACGCGTGTTATCTCATGAAATTTAAATGTGAATAAAGACTAAAATAGGTCTCTAACTAGAAATAAATGTTACAATAACTAGATGGAAATGGGGTTATGTGAAACTAATTGGATGGGAATAAGGACTAGGCAAAACGGATAATTAGCTGTAAATAGGACTTAGGCAACTTCACCTGCTTTAAATGCAAATTATGAGAAAAACCTAAAAATAAATCTAAAATTGAGTTTATTCCATTAAACTTTTTTCAAAAAATAGATTTAATTGTGATTGATTTGATATCCCAATAAAACATTACTTTTTATACCTTGACCTAGGTGCAAGGACAAAAAGAACTCTGAGCCGATGCTTACTCCAGACGAAGCTGGTGTTATCTAGCAGGAGATCGCATTTTCCCATCCTCCAAACTCTGTCTTAAATAACAATGTGTAAAGAAGATTGCAGCTATGTCATAAGGACGTGCCCGTTGTACGAACATACAACTGTTCATCCTCGCAATTTCGAGTCTACGAACAAAAGAAGTTAAAGGTTAAGTGCAGAGGTAGGTTTTTCTTTCTTAAACGATCTCTATAATTGAGCAAATTGGTGGAAGATCTATTAAGAATGAAGTTTATTTTCTCCTTAGATTGAAAAGTAACTTGGAAAATCTTTGATTTTTCTCTATAAAAAGAAAGGAAAAAAACCAGAGAATTTCTGTAACATAACTGTAGATAGCAATGTTGCTTTTGAGATAACAGAACTGATTGATTGATAGGTTTTTTCAAACCGGGACAAATAAACCAGAGTGGCTATTTTAGATGATCGTTGAATTTTTTTTAATCCGAAAATGACAAAATATCTGCTAAAAAAGATTTTTTCCTACATTCAATTCCTATCCTCCGCGAGTTAGAATTAAATCTTTTTTAAGAAGCCAGAATTGGATTTCTTTCTTTGAGAATGGAAATCTAGGCTATCATCTTCATTCTCAAAGAAAGAAATCCCATTTAAGTCCTTTACTATGCATTTTCCTATCGATTATTCGCCTATCTTACACAATTCTTAAAAGTCACTTAAATCTTATTGTTACAAATGTAAAGCCATTTCCTTAAATAACCATCCGATGCCAGTCAAAGATTACGTCAGAAATTAATATCATTTAAAACTAAAGCTTATTAAACAATATTTATTTGGCTTTATTTAAGATGTCTTCGTAAACTGGGATTTAATTATAAGGCATTGTGAAAGGAGATAAGCTCAACTTTGCGTTAAACGAGAGTTGGATGATAATTCTCCCCATTATTGTATATTATAGCGCTATCTTCACTTATTATACGTTTCAGAATAATAAACTGATGAGACTAAGTTTTAAGACTTTTCCCTATGTCCTGCAGTGAATATAATGTATGCTAAATTATCACAATATTGAATTACTTATCTAAAATTTTATCATACGCCACAATGCTCATGCTCATCTACCAAAATTCTATTATAAGACGACAATCTTCATTTAGCAAAATTTTATTATAGACTTCAAACTTACCAACTATTCATTCTCTTATAATATACTTTTAAAATTCTTATATATAATATATATTTTATTATTATTTACCATAACTATCTTGAATAATTCGATAGTCTTCAATCGTGTTTATAACTCAAAAAATTTTGGTTAAAATACATTTAATAATTCATACTTTATTCTTTCATAAATCGATATCAAAATTATATTTATTTATTTTATTAAAAAACATTTAAAGGTGTAATCATATCATCTTTCATGTTGAATAGTGATTAAATTCCTTTTTACATATTTTTTTCTATAAAAAAATTCATTTTTATATAGATGATAACGCTTTATTTTTTCAGAATATATATCAATAAAGAAGTTCATCCAATTCAATCATAGTTTATTGGAATATAACTATGATTTAATTGACAAGCTACCCTGTATATCCATCACTCCAAAAAGTAAACATAGGGTCTTGCTTAGACGTCATGGGACAGAGTGCAGTGGGAACAGAAGATCTTCTCCATAATTGAAGTTGGGAAATCCATCAGAATTCGACACCTTCTGCAATCTCAGGGGGGTGACAGAGCATTAATTACCGTACGGAAGTCCTGTGCCATCTACTTCCTTACCTCTCACGAGACAATATGGCGTCCAACCAATGAATAAATCACTGGCATCGTGCGAGTATATAGGTGATCGTTCAACTGTCATCTCCTATCGGTTAGAGATTTTGAACAGTAATCTCCCCGAACAGAAATGGTAAGTACCATAGACTTTTATTCTTGGTCGTGTAATGCCGGATAACCAAAGACGTTCATTGTAGCAACCCAAAAGAAGGATTTGTAGAAGCTTTACTATTGAAAGTTGTCCCTTTATCGAAAATATATCAACAATACCAAGTCATAGATCAGAGTAAAAGCTGAGTATAAAGGTAGTCTAAAGATATTCTCTAGTTGCGAATATTTAAATTTCAAATTTTGTTTTGTCATTTTTACGATCTTCTCGATAATTTGTAGAATTTCGAATTCGCGCTACATCCGAGCAATATTTATGTGAAAAAAGACGGATAAAGAATTTAACGATAAACTTACTAAATTTAGCATTTGTAGCAAACGTGGCTTTTATTATTAAAGAGAAACACGTCTGGCTAGGTTACAATTAATGTTGCGGTTTTCGTTCAGCAGATCGTTATGTTCTTTACGTGATAAAGTAAGTGAAATGGTCGTAACAGCAACATTATCTTACATTCTGTGTCTTATGGCTTTTCTACAACATCGAAATGCTATCATTCTCCTAACCGATGTAGAAAAGTAGTGGCTAGAAAACTTTCAACCGAATGATGGATACAAAGTAGTATAATATAAAAGTATTTTAGGCATATTACTGCGAGTCTCCGAATTCCATCGGATTTTACTAGCTTTCTTATTGCTCCTACTCAGCTATGGTCCTAATAAACTTGTGCACTTTAGGTTTCTTTCGCTCCGTTTGTCACGGAACGAGAAAGAGATAGACTGTTGCTTTCAAATTAAACTTTGCATCCATTTATCAGATGCTCGACATCAAAGAAAACTGAAGATAAAGCCATTAAATGGAGTAAAGATTATACTTCGACGATTTGTCAATGTGCGACTTTCTAAATGGAAATAGAAAATCTTAGATTTTCTCCCAAAGTAACTGGACGAAATCCAATTTTTTCAGTTTCGACTTTGTGGATTGGGAAAGTTAAAACGATTGATTTGCTCCCAAGACTTGTGATTGCAAGCGTCGAGACTGACACACAGATTACAAGTAATCCCGTTACCCGTAGACTTGTTGACTACGTGCCTGACTGATCTTCTTCTCTTTGTTTCTCAATAACACTTCTGTACCAAAGTTGATTTCTTTCGAGTCAATCAATATTAAATTAAATTAAAATATCGAGAAACTCTGCCAATGCAGCAGATATTTGTTCTGGAGATTACTTCTGTGGCCATTTTTTTTTATCGACTGTTAAAAGATTTCTATTTGCTTTAGGCTCCTTTTAATTCCGTCCACTTCCGATAATTTTAATGATGGTGCAATTTGTGTTCGAGTAAATAGCTCTCTGAGCTGCAATAAAAATTAACAAAGTAGATTTAAAATTTGATTTTTGCGAAAATAATTTATTGGGGACGTTTGATATCTTCTTCTACTAATTATCGTTAATGAATATCTTTTAGACAATCTCTTTATCCAAAATTTCCTTGTTAAATTAATATACTATCGAGTTCCTCTTTAATATCCTTAAATATTTTTGAAATGTAACTATTTCTGAAATTTCCCTTATTTTCTCTATTTAATATTCTCGCATTCTNATTATTATTATTCTGGCTTGGTTTTGATAACATTTTTTAAAAGAAATACAATAAAATTTAAATTCATAGATATAGTTGCGAAGCGGAGATGATAGAATATTTAAAGCAATAAATTTGATATATGTATATAAAAATTGTTTTTTTTACACATAAATAGGAATGTGTAGTTTTTATTATAATTTCCTTCTTAGCTTTTTAAGTCGTTGATTAAAGTTTGTTGTACATAATTTGGTTGAAATTAGCATTAGAGAGGTGCAATTAGTAGTGTTAAAATGTCGTCAGCTGATATCAATCGAAAGATAAAGAAAAAAGACAAAATGGGTTTTTAGAGCATTATTTCGCATTATTTCATGTGCGAATGACAGTTACCGCCCAAGTTAAGGCATGAATTATCAACTGATGACAAGAACAGATTCAGACCAACTGCTGACAATGTTGTTTTAGAATATTCTTTTTTTATTATTATTATTTTTTTAAAGATATTTCTCTGACGTAGCTAGATTTGTTTCGCTGAGTGAACAACATTAAGAAGGGAAATTACTTTAAAAAATAATAATTTAATTTCAAAATCCGGGCAGTAAAATTTTAATTGGAAATTGTAAAAAGTTGAAGAGTTGTCTGGAATGTTATGAAACCTATCATTCATTTTGCGAACGATTCTTGTTTTAATGAGTGTTCGCTATAAAGTTAATTTCCGTTTCGAGAAATGCTGTAAAAAATAAAATTAATATGTAGATGTCTGAAATTGTATTCTCAACCAAGAAGACTTTATATAATTCTTTTTTTTACTTCATGTTTAATCGATATATTTGAAAGAAGGCGACAGTGAATTATTCCTTTATTACTGCACCAAGTTACATTAAGGAAAAAGAATATATGCTAAACAACTTCGATTGTTTTTTCTCCTTCGATAGTCGACTTAACTGTTTGTCTGTTCTGTTCAGAACACTAAGTTTCTTCATTAAGGATTACTGCGACAAACAACAGTAATCTCTTTGTGTGATCTCCATGTCCTCCCCTTGTCAACGTCGTGTAAGCCCTGCGTGTGGTTCTCCACTGGATACGCTGTCTAAATAATGAAAGCAAGTGTGAAAGTTTCTAATTTAATGTACTTTCGTTTACTAGCAAGTTTTTCTTTTTATATTTCTAGCTTTAGTGGTCGAACGGCAAAATAACTTGCTTTGAGATGTCGGAGAAAGTGATAGAACCACGTTTTATCGCATTCCTATCAAACATTGCTATATAACAATAGAAAACAGCTTTTACTCTCTAGTGTCGTTCTCTATTAAAGCTAGTAATTTTGTCCGTTATATCTATAAAAACCACCTGGATGACTTCCATTGTGTTTAATGTATTGGGAACACTTCCAGGCTTTGTCTTGATCTGCTCTGTTGGGTATTTAGAACAGTTTGATCTTAACAGCAAAGGAAAATCTATTTCTACAAATAAATTTGTTCGTTTATATCATTCTATGAAGCAACTATGGATAATCAGTTTTAAAGTCAGATTTACATTAAAGTTTAAACAACGGCTGGCAAAATGATTATTTTCGACTTATCGCATTTCCATTGTTGTCTTTATAATGTTATCTTTTAACTTATTACATGCAAATATCGATTAACTGTAATATAAAAATTGGAAAGTATAAAATACACGTTGATACTCTGCCAATCTTTATAAATTGATCTTTATCTCATCATCTAATTCCAGCTGCCACTGATTGCAGAAAAGTGTATTAAAGGGGCAAGAAAAGAGAGAAAAAATTATCAGCTGTGTATTATTGATGGTAGACTTAATGGCTCAAATTAATTTTCTTTAAACTAATTTTGTTACGTTCATTTATTGTTAACGTCTTCAAAAATTAGATTTCGGCGATAATCACATAACTAAGATTAAGGATTCATCTTTGACGCCTTAATCTAAATTAGTAATAGTACGTAGTCTATTGGGATATAATTAAAAATAATCATCCTTGCAGTAGTTAAAACATAACAGATCTATTAATTTAATGTTTTATTGTGAATAAAACTGTCTTTCTCCATTTTATTAAAGCTTTCATTTCGTTAAAGTTAAGCTGGGCGGTTAGATCAAATATGAAATTTACCCAACAGCCGATTAATTAGCAATCTACTCATTAACTCCATGTTGTAATTCTCAGAAATGTCATCAGTACTTTTCATTGTTAGACAATAATTCGTTTAGCATAAAACAGGACAATTTTAGATACAAACCAGATACAATCAGTATAAATTCAGGTTACATTTATTCAATAAGGAACCACATTAGCTATATCTAGTGATATTTACGATATTATATCCAATACAACCGGAGGTGTAGTTACGGGGTAGAAAGACAAGTGTAATTACTAGACGATCGATCTGGATAATAAGGATAGCTCTAGATAATAACATTAATTCGGTGCCTAACAGGTTGAAGCTAGCAAGACAACTCCAACTTGGAGAGCTCACATCATTCCAGAGCTTCTCTGTTATGATGAAATAAGGTGTTACCTACTTCAATATGGTGTATCTATTGAAACGTGTAGCTCGATATTAAATTCATTGTTGCTGTAGTAAACGTCGAAATCCCTGGAGCAAAACGCTAGCAAGGAGTTGGTCTTCCACACCGATTTGTTTGGTTGTATAATATACTGGAACTGAATGGCTGCGGAAAGGAAACTGAAATTCATCTTAAAGGGCTTCACTTATCGATTACAGCGTCAAAAAAATGAAATTTTTAAAATTATCGCTTTCGTTTTTTTACGCAAAATTTACTAGAATTTTCCGACGACGCGTTTTAAATTAGATTTTAACTGGAATGGCGATTTTTCAGTTTAAAAAGCACTTGATACAAAGCGATAAGAGATATAAACGCACCAATCGAAATCATCAATATGCATCTCTGTGCAGAAAGCACCTATATACGAAGTTTAGACCTAAATATTCCCATAGTAATAATCGATATAATCGATGTAGCACCTGCAACGCGCACAAAAGGTCAGAATCTATATTGTACATGTACTGTGCAATCCGGAATATACGTCAATCATTAACATTCTCATCACAAACGAATGCATCAAACTCTTTCAACGGATAATTAATACTCATTTAATTTTATTTTTAGAAAGTCCAGACAGGTTTCTAATAAATTAAATATGGAAATTTCTTTTTATACCAAGAAAACGACTCAATAAAATGAATATATATATTTTTTATGTTTAATCCCATTACCAAGGTTTGGATATGGGTAGAATATTGCATAGGAAATTTTTGAATGTGTCTGTGAGTGACCAAGTACCCTTCTCCTACTGTACTAAAAGTAGAAAACGCTATTAGTATTATTTAAATACTCCCAAAGTGCTTTTAAAAGCCCACTCTCAAATATTAAAGCTGCAGATTTTAAAAATATGGCTTCTTATCTTAACAA